TCTGTTCTGGCCTGTGAATAAACAAGAGCTGTTTGAAGAATCGCTGTGTCATCTGATATGTTCACACACAATTTAACATTAGGTGCGCAAGCTGCACATATTGCATCAGTTTACAGGGGAAGAAGTCAGATGTTCTCATCCCTTCCTCTAATTTAAGGCGTTATTTAGAGAGAGGGTGGTTTTGAAAGAATTAAGGGTTTAAAAGGGCAACGCCTCCGCATGCCAGTCAATGCGTCCCACGTGGTTTATGTGTGCGACACGGTTTTGGAGCTGAGTTGGTTTAATATTTGCACCTCCACTTTTCCAACAGCGATTGCTGAGCAGGAACAGTAATAATAAAAAATTGCAATCGCTATAATATCAAACGCAACAGCCTATGTAGCAAACAACAAGAAGAAATCCATCAATACAATTCAACGAAGTCATAGTTAACTCATAGCATGGCCAGAATACTGTCTAATTTCAGCTAGGAGGAGGGGAATTCACAAGATGAGGAGTGTTTTACAGGAGGGATTTTCAACTGGAAAAAGCAAATCAGTCCACACTCCCAGCACTCTGCAATATCAGCAACAGAATGTATAGTACAAGGTTGTTTTGCACAGCTCTGTAAACGATACCTGCTCGTGCTATTTTATTTTATTGTGTTGTTTTTAAAGGCACACTACTCCATAAACAACAAATCACAAGAAATAAAATCCAAATTGGAAAGAGTATAAACAACCCTGCTGTTTTGTGTTTGGGTACAGAGACGCCGGTGCAATAATAAAAGCCTGGATTTCTCCGATTTCTATTGGCAGCTCCCAGTTCTTTCCTCCTTTTTCGACAGTTCTCAGTTATGCCTTAACATTTCTCTGAGGAAAATAGGGATGTCCTGTTCCGTAATAGGGACATCCTATTCCACCACCACCACCACCATTTATCATTTATACCCCACCCATCTGACTGGGTTGCCCCAGCCACTCTGAGCAGCTTCCAACATCTATAAAAACATAATAAAACATTGAACACTTAAAAAAAAACCCTTCCCTATACAGGGCTACCTTCAGGCCAGGTCTTCCTGTTTTATACCTGCTGGGATTGACAAGGCATCTGACCCTCACCTGAATCTCATAGCTCTCCTGACGAGTGCTTTGGTCTGCCCACCAGATACCAGGCACTCTACTATTCAAATTAGGCCCCAGTGTTTTTGTTACAATCCCCTTCTGAATTAAGTCATCAATTTAAATCTAGAATTTAAATTCTCACAACTTTATCAGATTATCAGATGTCTTCTAAAGGTTGTAGAGTTACTTATCTCCTTGGTTCGCGGGTTGCATAACTCCATACCCTCCAACATTTCGCTGATGAAGATACGGATAGCCTAAGGAAGAGCGGGACATTCTGGTATCAAATCAGAAACTGGTACAGCTTCTGTAAATCTGGGACTGTCCCTGGAAATTGGGGACACTTGGAGGGTCTGCCTTAGGGTTTAGCAGCTTCTGTGTCGGACTAGAATTGAGTAACTAACATCTGATAGGCAGCACAATTCCTCAGGTTGGAACTGGGAGTGGTGACAGTGGCATGGGCCTTGTGTTAATTGTGGGGGGGGCTACCTCAGACTTTTCAGAGCGAGACATGTTCACAGTGCAGCAAGCTTTTGGGTTCCACAGAATCTTTCAGGCAGGAGGAGGGAGGGTGAAGAGAAGCAAGTCTAAAATATAAATACAGTGGTACCTCGGGTTAAGTACTTAATTTGTTCCGGAGGTCCGTACTTAACCTGAAACTGTTCTTAACCTGAAGCACCACTTTAGCTAATGGGGCCTGCTGCTGCTGCCGCCGTGCCGCCGGAGCCCGGTTTCTGTTCTTATCCTGAAGCAAAGTTCTTAACCTGAAGCACTATTTCTAGGTTAGCGGAGTGTGTAACCTGAAGCGTATGTAACCTGAAGCGTATGTAACCCGAGGTACCACTGTACTGTGGGAAATGACTATATATAACCACTTTGCCTTATTCCCAGAAAATGGCTGTACTTGCCGACCTTACCTCTACACTGCCTCCAGAACTGATCTTTGGTGGTTGGACTCACCCTTGGAACATGAGGTGATCATAACATGAGGTCACCTTAGAACTTATACACAATATAGAACGCAATTTTCTATCCTAATGAAGGGGGGAGCGGTAAGGTGAATCATTCCCTTCTTATGAAGACCACCACGATTGGTTTTTGTTTTTTCAAAAAAAAAATAATAATATTCAAAAGTTACAATACAGTTGAAATGCAATGCATTGAAAGACCACTATTGTTCTTTACCAAACTCGCATGGTTTCAAAATGTGCCTCTGGTGAGAGCAACGATATCACACATTGCTGCATACACATCCCAACAGGGAAAACTCTCACATAGTCTCTGACACTTCAGAAACTCGAACCACCATTTGTTTTGGCACTGGGACTTGGCTATTTTGAGTTTTTGCTGGAAAACAGCCAAGCAACCCCCCTCTTGAAGTTTGTATATCTCTCATAGGGCTGAAGAGAAATCATGTGCCAATACCTCTCTCCCCTGTTTTGTTTATAGAATTGGTCTTATTTTACTGGCTTCAAAACTATGTTTTCCTTCTCATTGGTTCCATATACCTGAGCATAGGGGTAACTGATACATTTTCAGCATGCTGTTGGCTTCGTAGCTAGAGAGCAGGGCCATCTTAACCCGAGGTACCACTGTATTTGTTATGTACTGAAGTTCTCACCCTGGCCACCAGGGGTATTGTGTATGTAGTTTTCACTCAGGTCCACGTCAGTTATTTTAGGCGGGAAACCCTGGGTTGTTGTTGCTACAATGTTGACAGCCGGCTGCCTATAAAAGCAGGCCGGCTGAGCTGTTTGCTGCTCAGTTCTGTTCCAGCTTACAAAATAAAGAGCTGCTCTGGAGAAATCGCTGTGTCGTCCGCTATGTCAACCCACAACTTAACACTGGCAACGAAGGTGGGATTGATGGACAACAGAGCACAGCCAGATGCGGCCACCCCACTATTCAACAGTATTGATTAATATGATCCTTCCTAACTCGCGCTAGCAAGTTTCTTCATATAGCAGAGTGCATCCCCCTATTAGACAGCAGGAAGTTGGTTGCAGACTCGTTAGAATCTCTTAAGACAATGAGCAATTCAATCTGGATTGCCCAGATTGGGATATGCTCCTGGTAACACCCCTTGAATTCCCCTCAAAAGAATAAAGATACAACAGTCTTATTCATAAATAACAAAAACAAGTTGACTCATGATCAGGCAGAGCAAAGTGTGATCCCTGAAGGCAGGCTTTAGGCTTAAAGTTACAAATACAGTGGTACCTCGGCTTACATACGCTTCAGGTTACATACGCTTGAGGTTACACACTCCGCTAACCCAGAAATAGTGCTTCAGGTTAAGAACTTTGCTTCAGGATGAGAACAGAAATCGTGCTCCAGCGTCGCGGCGGCAGCAGGAGGCCCCATTAGCTAAAGTGGTGTTTCAGGTTAAGAACGGACCTCCGGAACAAAATAAGTACTTAGATGAAGGTGATGGACTATATGGAACTGGCGGAAATGACCGGCAGAATCCGAGACCAGGGAGAAGAGTCGGTGGAAGAAGATTGGAAGAAATTTAAAGACTATTTACAGAAATACTGCAAAATTAATGAATGTTAGAATGATGTTGGATTGAAGTTAAGTGGTTTTCAGCAGTAATGTTATAAAGATGTGTAAAAATGGATTGGTAACAGGGGATAATCTAAAGTTATAATATATTAAGATTAAAGATTAGGATAAAAACAAAGAGGGAAAGGATTTGCTGAACCAACTAATTGAACTGGATACAAAAAAGGGAGGTGTGAGGAGGTCTGGGGAACAAGCGAATGAAAGATAAGACACGGAAAGACTGAATTGTTTTTAACTGTTTTTACTTTGTATTTTTCCTTTTTCTTTTTTCTTTTTGTAACATTTTGAAAACTTTAATAAAAATCTTTTTTTTAAAAAAAACAAAACAAATTAAGTACTTAACCCGAGGTACCACTGTATGTACAAACAGGTCTACCCCATATGGAAGATGACCCAGGGACTTCTGGCTAAGGGATAGCAGTGCAGTCCCGGTGAAGCAGAAAGCAGGCAGGACGAAAAAGTAGGGAGGTGGCTACGTGACTTGGCCTTTTACCAGGTCTGGAAAGGTCACACCCTCTTACTTGTCACATGCAAAGGAAGGATGCTCCAGACCAGGTGTAACAGGAAGTTCGACTGACTGGACCAATATCACTTGCATGCCCACTCTAGCAATACAGGTAATGTGGTTGTACTTGACTGCTCCAGTGGATTACACCCCACGATAAAAGGCAGTGAAATGAAACTCACAACGCAATACGGAGTTATGTGTGCTTAAGGTCTCAATACAGTGGTACCTCAGGTTACATACGCTTCAGGTTACATACGCTTCAGGTTACGCACTCCACTAACCCTGAAATAGTACCTCGGGTTAAGAACTTTGCTTCAGAATAAGAACAGAAATTGTGCTCCGGCAGCGTGGCGGCAGCAGGAGGCCCCATTAGCTAAAGTGGTGCTTCAGGTTAAGAACAGTTTCAGGTTAAGAACGGACCTCCGGAACGAATTAAGTACTTAACCCGAGGTACCACTGTATGCTTAAGTATGCCTTACCTTGTGTTGGGATTTGGTCCCTGCATGTACCGGTAATTTTCCACTGTTCAGATAACAAATGTGCTGCCTACCTGTGCATTTTCTCATCACAGCATCATTAAGAAGCAAAGATCTCCCTTGAATCTGTGGACAATGAGATTATCTTGGAGCATGTTTAGGATTCTCCAAAGCCAGCTCACCCATGGAACTATCACCTCCCGTTCATCAAACCTCAGGATATTCATGCCCCTTGCTTGATAGTTATCTATGATGAATGACTCTTTCTTTCAACAACTGGTCCAGTTTGCAAGAGGCTCACATGGGAGGGTTTCACAGCCAAACTCCCAAGTCGATGTGGGCCATAGGGGTCTCAGACAGCCATTTGATAAGAGAGGAGAAAGGCTGAGTTTCTCTCCCAAGATGGTGATGAGAATGCCCCAACCTCTCTGGCGTTGTCTCCTGTATTCTAGCCTGCTTTTGATTTTTTGCAGAGGTAAGTGCCCCCTTTCCCGTCCCATTAGAAAAAAATATATAGTTGTCTTTCAGTGCTACATGGCGTGAAAAATACCATGATACTGGCAGTAGATTGGGCTAATGTGAGTATAATGCTATTGAGAGAAAAAACCAATCCTAAGTTTTGTCTGAATTGTATGGAAAAAAGATCAACCTGTATATGTAATTGAGCACTGATCCTGCACAAAACTCCCATGAAATTGCATCCAGTCATTTATTGAGTATTTGTTCTGATTTGCTTGGAAACTCTATGAGTTTTAGCTACAGTGCAAGCCTAAGCACACCTACTCAGAAGTAAATCCTATTCAATTAAGTGGGGCTAAGCTGTAGTTTCCAGTTTTGGAGGGGATCCTGTATATTGCATATTGATTTCCACAACCTGACCAAATTTCTGGCTAGGACTCTGCCATAATTACGATGAACGAGGGCTTTGACATTTGCAATCCCTTGGAGCTGTTCTCCTTTCCTTGGAAGAACGTACATTTTAAAAAAAAACAGTGGAAATTGTGTGATTTGGAAACCCACAAAACGACTTGCTATGATTCCAGTTTAGCAAACATTTGGAACAAATTACAACAAATTTGCCTTCCTTGGTGAGCCTCTCTCTCTCTCTCTCCTGAATGTATGAGGCCAGCTTCTCCATAGAAGCTCTACCTCACGGTTTATAAAGCTATTGTATTTAACTTTGGGGGGGGGGTGGACATCTGTTGGTGTTTAGCTTGGATTATTTTAGTTGGCGGCAGCAAAGTTGCCTTTGATTTCGCATTCTTGGGCTCAGTTGCATTGTCTGAATAAAGCAACAAAGTCATCCTGGCTTTAGCATAATAACGCTGTGTTGGTGCACACCTGGAGGTGACTCCTTTCAGGTGAACCTGAGGGACCTTGTTGTGGACCTGGGGTCACTCGCGGGGCAGAGAGAAGGGCAGGGAAGCTGACTGCTGTGCTTAGAACTGGCTTCAAAGCAGCTCAACTAAGAGGAACAAAGGAGCCCCTCTCCATTTCCAGCAGCTGCACAAACATACAATATGCAAAAAAGGAGCAGCCAAAGCAGTTATTCTGAACTGATGAGGGTAGTCCAGGGAAGCCCCAGTTAGATTTCTCTTTTCCTTCTGCCAGATTCTTTCCTCCTTCACCTCTTCTATCTGTTGCACCGTGAGGTGCAGCAGTGGCCTCGACAATGAGAGCTTTACATACCCTCCAACATTTCGCCAGTGAAATGTTTTCAGAAGTCCTGAGGAACTGAGAGGGAGGGGCGCGGGTGGCGCTGTGGTCTAAACCACTGAGCCTAGGGCTTGCCGATCAGAAGGTCGGCGGTTCGAATCCCCGCGACGGGGTGAGCTCCCGTTGCTAGGTCCCTGCTCCTGCCAACCTAGCAGTTCGAAAGCACGTCAAAGTGCAAGTAGATAAATAGGTACCACTCCGGCGGGAAGGTAAACGGCGTTTCCGTGTGCTGCTCTGGTTCGCCAGAAGCAGCTTAGTCATGCTGGCCACATGACTCGGAAGCTGTACACCGGCTCCCTCGGACAGTAAAGTGAGATGAGCGCCGCAAACCCAGAGTCCTGTCACGACTGGACCTAATGGTTAGGGGTCCCTTTACCGTTACCTAACTGAGAGGGAGGCAGCTTTTAGCGTTCTGCAAACTGAACAGAAACATCCTTGGGGTTATTTGCTTAAAAAACAGGTCTCTGTGTAAGGCCTTAATCCCATCTACGTGGAAATGGACTGTGTCAGGCTGCTGTGCACATTGTGTTTTCTTCTGGGACTGAGTACAGCACTTTGCCCCCCCCCCCCATTCATGGTGCACACACAACCTAGATCTTGCCCCTGAAAAGCACTCCTTGAGAAACCGGGGGGTATGTGGGAACCTATAAAATCATTTATAATATAATTTGTTAATTGTGTTGTATTTACATACAGCAAAGGGAAGCCTAGAGCAATTAGATATATTTTAATATAGGTAATCTAGGTAATAGGCTTATGTTAGAAAATGAATATGGATTTTGAATTTGATGTTTGTAATTTTTTTTGGGGGGGTTGAAAAAAAAGAAGAAGAAAAAAGAGGAACTGGTTTCATTTTGAAAATAAAAAATTGTTGCAGAGTGATTTGGCATCCCCTCCCCCCCCCCGTATGTCCATTTGTGGGAAGGAAAAAATGTGAATCGCCTAATCAGAGGGAGGGTTTTCTAATGCGTATCAAGTAAACCCACCCTCCCTTGTGGGATACCAGGATCCCGGACCAATATAGACCAAGCAGCATGTTAAGAACAAGCATGATTGCAGTGCTATTTTTCTAGAAAAAGAGGTGCCAGAACTCACCACGAACACCTCCCTCTTTCTCCTAGAATGGCAATGGCACTCACCTGAGAGGTGCTGGAACTGAGTTCCGGCTGGAAAAAACACACCTGGGGATGTCCTATTGCATGCCCTCCAACATTTCTCCGATGAAAATAGCGCGGGTGGCACTGTGGTATAAACAACTGAGCCTAGGCAAAAGCCACGGTCAGGCAAAGAATATTAGATACCGAGAGACAACAGGATTGCACAAGGTGCCCCGACTATAAAATTGGAGAAATCGAGAGAGATATAGCCGCACTGGCAGCATATCTCTTCTTTCTCATACAGTGGTGCCCCGCAAGACGAATGCCTCGCAAGACGAAAAACCCGCTAGACAAAAGGGTTTTCCGTTTTTTGATGCACTTCGCAAGACGATTTTCCCTATGGGCTTGCTTCGCAAGACGGAAACGTCTTGCGAGTCTTGCGATTTTTTTCGCTCCCCCCTTTTTCTAAGCCACTAAGCCGCTAATAGCCTTTTAGCCGCTAAGCCGCTAAGCCACTAATAGCCTTTTAGCCGCTAAGCCGCTAAGCCTTTAATAGCCACTAAGCCGCTAAACCGTTAATAGCGCTAATCCGCTAAGGCGCTAATAGGGTTGCTTCGCAAGACGAAAAAACCGCTAGACGAAGAGACTCGCGGAACGGATTATTTTCGTCTTGCGAGGCACCACTGTATCTAGAAAGGCAAGAAGGGTCTTTACACTCGCCAGAATTGCGGCTCTTCCCTCGCCGGTCCTGGATGGAGCCTTTAGAAAAGTCCCCTATGCCCAGAGACTTTGCACCTGTCCATTGGGAGAAATAGGGAGCCCAGAACACTTGTTCTTCAAATGTCCCCTTCACGAAGAGGCACGTAGTAAGTTCATTGGTCCCCTACTGGTGAGGCTTGCCGAACTCCCGCAAAAGCAAAAATTTAACCTTTTGCTGTTAGGCAATGATCAGAAGATGACCTGGATGGTCGCCAGATTCTGTGTACAAATCTGTAGGCGCAGACCATCGCCCAACTCAAAATAGTCTGGCATGAAAATCCCCAAACTTGGTTCCATGGGTGACTCTGAGTCAACTCCCTGGGATAGTTTATTGTTGCACATTGTGTCTAAATTTATTGTTGCACATTGTTTTAATTGTCTGTTTTAACCATATTTGCACATCGGTTTCTAATTTTGTGAGTGTCCTCTATTTCAGAGGCTTCTATTCTGCAGCCTCTTATACTTGTTTTAACTGTGAGTCTTTTAGTTCTTACGCTCTTACAGTTGTTTTAACTGCATGTTTTTATTTGTTTTTTAGTTCTTATCTGTTTTAATTATCAGCTTTTATCCATCCATTATCCGTGTTTAATCTTGTATTTTATTCAGATGTTTTACCCTATGCTTGTTTATTTGTCCTTATTTGCCCCAACATTTATTAGTTTAAAAAATAATAATAATAATCCTAACTGCTATTTTATTTATATGTTGTTGCTTTTTATCCTGGTCTGTGACCGTAATAAAGTTCGTTCATTCATTCACTGAGCCTAGGGCTTGCCGATTGGAAGGTCGGCGGTTCACATCCCCGGGACAGAGTGAGCTCCAGTTGCTCAGTCCCTGCTCCTGCCAACCTAGCAGTTCGAAAGCACGTCAAAGTGCAAGTAGATAAATAGATACCTGTCAGGGGTGCCTCAGGTCCCAGCTCACAAAGGACCAACGCCAGTGTCTCTTTATATACAAAAGTCTTTATTGAAGTTCATTGTTGGTTTTACATCCGTGGCGCGCATCCCTACGTCTGTAACTCTAGACCGTCGAAGCTCCGTCTGACTCTTCCCCTCCCCTACACCAGTTTAACACCCGAGCTTTGCTCCACCTCTTCCTCTGCTCTTTTCTCCTCTGGGTCCTCCTGCCCCTGGGGTCCCACCCCTCCTGGACTCTTCGGAGGCGGATTCCTCTGACTCCTCCCCCTGTCTCCGGCGGGCTTTGGGACCTGGCTCCCAATCCGGATTTTCTGCTGACCCGCGCGCCTGCACATTTGAACTTGGCGCGCGCACCCAGCTGGCCACTTTCCTCCTAACGGCTACACTGCTCCTGTCACTGCTTCCTCCTTCGGAGGGGCTGGCTGGAACTGACCTCCGCCCCTCCACTCTCCGACGGAGGCGTGGTCAGTTCTGACTCTCTCTCTCTCCCTGCTGGAGTGGACGCCGGTTCTGATCTGTGGGCTTCTTCCCCCCCCCCCGCTACGCTCTGGCAGGGAAGCTGGCCCTGATCTCCAGCTGCCGCTTGGGGACTCACCGCTGGCCCCCCTTGCCCTGACCCTGGGCGCCTCTTTCTGAGAATCTTCTGATTCGCTGGAGAGACTCATGGAATCTCTCGGGTCACTGTCATACCCTCCTAAGCTCCCCTCAGATTCCTCCCCTTCGCTCTCCAACTCCTCTTTCCCCTTTGGCTCTGCCCCTGAGCCCCTGACAGTACCGCTCCAGCGGGAAGCTAAACGGCGTTTCCATGCGCTGCTCTGCTTCACCAGAAGCGGCTTAGTCATGCTGGCCACATGACCCGGAAGCTGTACGCCAGCTCCCTCGGCCAATAAAGCGAGATGAGCACCGCAACGCCAGAGTCGTTCGCAACTGGACTTAACTGTCAGGGGTCCTTTACCTTTAAGGAAAAGTGGAACATTCTGGGATCAAATCAGAAACCAGGACAGCTTCTGTAAATCTGGGACTGTCCCTGAAAAATAGGGGCACTTGGAGGGTCTGGCTTTAAGGTGGGGCCGAGACAGAAGGGACTCCTGCAATTCTCCCTCTCTGACCTTTCTTTCTTTCTTTCTTTCTTTCTTTCTCTCTCTCTTTCCTCCTTCAGGATGCACAGCACCGACCTATGATGACTTTGAAGATGAAAGTAAGAGAGAAACAAGTATTTGTTCTCTGGGAACAAGAAGAGCATACCTGTCCTTAGCATGCACACCACTGCCCTTTCCCAGTTACCGTATTTTTTGCTCTATAAGAATCACTTTTTCCCTCCTAAAAAGTAAGGGGAAATGTGTGTGCGTCTTATGGAGCGAATGCAGGCTGCGCAGCTATCCCAGAAGCCAGAACAGCAAGAGGGATCGCTGCTTTCGCTGCGCAGCGATCCCTCTTGCTGTTCTGGCTTTTGAGATTCAGAATATTTTTTTTCTTGTTTTCCTCCTCCAAAAACTAGGTGCGTCTTATGGTCTGGTGCATCTTATAGAGCGAAAAATACGGTACGTTTCTGTCGCCATTTGCACATTTCTCATACAGAGGGTACTGAGCCTTTAGGAAATCGGGACATGGGAGGGCCTTCCCAGAGCCTGCACCTTAGATTTAGAAGACCCTCCCAAGGGACTTCCACATAGCCCAGTGGTCCTCAAAGGGTGTGGCAGGAGAGGATGACAAGTGTGGTGGGGACATTCAAGGACAATCAATATTATATTCTGGGAATGATTTGTGTTGTTACGGAGCCACATCCTTTTATACAGTGGTACCTCGGGTTACAGACGCTTCAGGTTACAGACTCCACTAACCCAGAAATATTACCTCAGGTTAAGAACTTTGCTTCAGGATGAGAACAGAAATAGCGCCGCGGCAGCGGGAGGCCCCATTAGCTAAAGTGGTACCTCAGGTTAAGAACAGTTTCAGGTTAAGAACGGACCTCCAGAACAAATTAAGTTCTTAACCTGAGGTACCACTTTACTTTCTGGATATCTCACGATTATACGACAAAGTAGTTGTGTTCTGTGCTATAAATCAAGCACTGCTAGGAGTTGTTTTGTTTCCCAATGTATTTCTTATCGATGAAAAAATTGCTGGGGCGCGAGCAAATTTTTATTTTGGAAGTGTGGCCCAGAATCCAACATTTCTCCAATGAAAATAGGGTCGTCCCATTCCGTAATGATAATTTTACTATTTCTATCCCACACATCTGACTGGGTTGCCCCAGCCACTCTGGGCAGCTTCCAACATATATAAAAACATAAAACATTAAACATTAAAAAAAACTTCCCTATGCAGGATTGCCTTCAGACGGCTCGGGGATCAGATAACTCCATACCCTCCAACATTTCTCCAATGAAAATAGGGGTGTCCTAAGGAAAAGCGCGACATTCCGGGATCAAATCAGAAACTGGGACATCTTCTCTAATTTAGGGACATCTCTGGGAAATAAGGACACTTGGAGGGTCTGGTGACCCAGAAAAAATGTTTGAGAACCACTGACTTAGCCCCTTCTCTTTCCACTGTCAGGAAAACACATTTTAAATTCATCTAAAAGTGTTTTTGGGACACGGGTGGCGCTGTGGGTAAAAGCCTCAGCGCCTAGGACTTGCCGATCGAAAGGTCGGCGGTTCGAATCCCCGCGGCGGGGTGCGCTCCCTTCGTTCGGTCCCAGCGCCTGCCAACCTAGCAGTTCGAAAGCACCCCTGGGTGCAAGTAGATAAATAGGGACCGCTTACAAGCGGGAAGGTAAACGGCGTTTCTGTGTGCGGCTCTGGCTCACCAGAGCAGCGATGTCACGCTGGCTACGTGACCCGGAAGTGTCTGCAGACAGCGCTGGCCCCCAGCCTCTTGAGTGAGATGGGCGCACAACCCTAGAGTCTGGCAAGACTGGCCCGTACGGGCAGGGGTACCTTTACCTTTACCTTTAAAAGTGTTTTAATGTGACCACTCTTTGGTCCTATTTTCTCTCTTTTTATATTATTTTAAAGTGTTTTGATGTATTTTTAATTGTTGCTGGAAATCATCACCATCATAATTTTATTATTTGGACCTCGGCCATCTGATTGGGTTGCCCCAGCCACTCTGTGCTTCCAAGATATATAAAGACATAATGAAACGTTACACATTGATCGCCTTGGGTAATATATTGTAGAAAGGTGGGCCAATAAATTGAAAGAACGGACAAACAAATTGTACGACTAGCAGTAGTTTGGCAGGTGAAGCGTTTCTGGTGTCTCTGCACATTGAGGAGGAAAGATTTCAGCTGCTCAATTTCTGCCTGCGATGACGGTGCTAAAGGCACACGAATGGTGCCAGAAAAAAATGTGGTAATCTCTTCCCAAGACAGTAACAGATTCCCTCCCTCTTTAACGGGGACATCAGGTTAGGGCAAGGGGGAACTTTTCATTTGTGCTTTCCTCCCCACTCCTCCCCAAACTGGAAGAGATCCCAGAACTACCTAATATTTTTGGATCAGGAATAGGGAGCCTTGGGAAGGAAGGCGTTCAGTGCTTTTTCGCTTCTGAACAAGGAGGTTCTTGAGAGGAAACCATGGATGTTTATAAAAATTACTTGGAACAATGTGGAAGGAGCTGATAAGGCAGGGATTCCTTTTCTCTTTTTTTAAATAGTAGCACTTAGGGTCAACCAGTGAATTTTTACAACACCAGGGCAGACAGACGTTAATATTGCATTGTGCAACATGTAATGTATCTATGGAACTCATTGTCCCTGGGTGTTCTGATGGCATAGATGGCTTTCAAAAGAATTGTTTTCTTTCTTTTGGCTTCTTGCGGAATGTTCATCCATGTCCATTGACCATTGCAGCCAAGAATGAAATATTTACTTTCGAAAGCAGGATGATGGCCAGTTGCCAGATATACTGGCTTGGATTGCAATGTTAATGTTATGTACTGAGTTGGATAGGATCCAAAATGCAGCAGTCTGATTGGTCCTAGAACAATAGGATTCAGAATGCAGCAGTCTGATTAGTCCTAGAACAATAGGCTCCAGAATGCAGCAGTCTGATTGGTCCACAGGAGCCACCCAATCCAGCTCCAGGTGGAAGTGAATCCGTGACCTGATTGGCCTACAGGTGAATCCCAGAATTAGCCAATCACGTGGGGCCCATTGTGTAAATAATGTATATAAAGCAGACATTCTGGGGGAACTTCCATTCCTCCTCATCACTATGAGCTGAATAAAGAGCATGAAATCCACTCTCGACTCCGAGTATATTTCAGTTAAACAATAGTTTAAAACAGGGTCAGCAAACTTTTTCAGCAGGGAGCCAGTCCACTGTCCCTCAGATCTTGTGGGGGCCCAGACTATGTTTTTTTTGGGGGGAGGGTGAATGAATTCCTATGCCCCACAAATAACCCAGAGATGCATTTTAAATAAAAGGGCACATTCTACTCAGGTAAAAACACACTGATTCCCAGACTGTGCGTGGGCCGGATTTAGAAGGCGATTGGGCCAGATCCAGCCCCCGGGCCTTAGTTTGCCTACCCATGGTTTAAAATAAACTATAGCGTAATCTGCACAAGCACATGTTCTGCACAGCTGCTGCTCTTAACCTCGCCATGCAGAGGAGAAAACAAGCCCCAAGCAAGCTAGAGTGTGTCTTGTTGTGATGTGTGAAGCTGTGCTCATGGTTTGTTACCTTCAAATAAACCAATCGAGGTAAACTAAGGACATGGTTTGGTTGTAGGAAACAAACCATGGTTCTGGGTTCACACGTCACAACATTGAGACTCTGGCTAGTTTCCTCCCTTGAATGGCACAGATGGGACTAACTTCAACTCCATCAGTTTCAGTGGGTCTACTCTGAGGTGATCAACTCAGATACAACGGATAGTTTGTCTTTTAACTACAGTTTAACACGGCATTTGAACACAGACATTGGGACTTAAGGTTGTCTGGATGCCTTGCTTGCTGGTCACCTCAAAGTTCCTCATTCCTGATCCTTGTACAGTGGTACCTCGCAAGACGAATGCCTCTCAAGACGAAAAACTCGCAAGACGAAAGGGTTTTTGGTTTTTTGAGTTGCTTCGCAAGACGAATTTACCTATGGGCTTGCTTCGCAAGACAAAAACGTCTTGCAAGTTTGTTTCCTTTTTCTTAAAACCGTTAATACAGTTGCGACTTGACTTCGAGGAGCAACTCATAGCACGCGGTGTGGTAGCCTTTTTTGAGGTTTTTGAAGACTTTGGTGATTTTTGAAGCTTTTCCAAAACTTTTCCGAAACCGTGCTTCGCAAGACGAAAAATTCACAAGACGAAAAAACTCGCAGAACGAATTAATTTCGTCTTGCGAGGCACCACTGTAGTTGTGACAGGAGGGAAAACCAACATGCACAACCTCAGAGAGGCACTCGTGAACTTAACCAGGGTTTCTGGGCTGAGCCTTTGTCCTCCTCCAGATGTTTGTCCCCCCAGCAGAGATTTAATAATCTCCATCATCCCTCAATTGGGAACCTCTGGGGTGGGGGGAGGGCTCTGCTGGAGAGAAAAGTGCTCTGCCAAGATATATCTTTGACCTGATCTACAGAGCCTTGGGCTTGCCAATCAGAAGGTCGGCGGTTCGAATCCCCGCAACAGGGTGATCTCCCATTGCTCGGTCCCTGATCCTGCTCTAGCAGTTCGAAAGCACGTCAAAGTGCAAGTAGATAAATAGGTACCGCTCCAGCGGGAAGCTAAACGGCGTTTCCATGCGCTGCTCTGGTTCGCCAGAAGCGGCTTAGTCATGCTGGCCACATGACCCAGAAGCTGTACGCCAGCTCCCTCAGCCAATAAAGCGAGATGAGCGTCGCAACCCCAGAGTCGTCCGCGACTGAACCAATGGTCAGGGGTCTCTTTACCTTTATGGATCAGTAGTTTGGCTGATTCCATCTGTCTTCCTCTTAAGTTTGTGTCAGTTCTGGAGCCAAAAGCTGAAGGTGAAATCGTGTATACGGTACAGGGGAGATGAAACAAGCTTCACAGGTTCCCCTTCTTTAGATAGATCTTTCTTGAGGAAGGTAGTAGTTGAGCTAGCAAGTCCCAGGCCTGCCCTATCACTGTTACTCATCCTACTGCTGTTCCTAGACTAACATCTACCTTCTCCTTCCAGTCTCCTACCTGTATCCAGATGAAGAAGGTGAGCAATGATCTCTTCCTCCCATCTCCTCTGTTGCGAAACAGAAGTCCTCACTCTTCTTTTAGCCACAGGCTTCTGTTTTAATGAGATCTGTGTCCCAAAATGGTCTGTTTACCCAATATCTCGCTTTTTATTTTGTGACCTCTGTTGGAAATTTTCACATGTGACACACACTGCATCATCATCATCATCATCATCATCATATATTTATACCCTGCCCATCTGGCTGGGTTATAGCGAACCAGGCAGAGGGCCTTCTCGGTAGTGGCACCCGCCCTGTGGAACCCCCTCCCACCAGATGTCAAAGAGAAAAACAACTATCAGACTTTTAGAAGACATCTGAAGGCAGCCCTGTTTAGGGAAGCTTTTAATGTTTCATGTATTACTGTATTTTAATATTTGGTTGGAAGCCACCCAGAGGAAACCAAGCCAGATGGGCGGGGTATAAATAAATTATTATTATTATTATTATTATTATTATTATTATTATACAACAGATTTGCACAACCCTGGTTACACGCACCATTTGCCTGTTGGGTTGAATGTAAAAAGCTGGCTGGAATGTGATTTGATTCCTCTCCCAATTCAACACCATTTGCACACGGTGTAGATGGTACAACAGAATCAGGCATCCTTTCTGTTGCCTGCAATGTTTGATACGCTTTCTTCCCAGCGCCAGACGAGAAGTGATGTTTGTCAGGTACTTTGCATTTGCGTAGCTGATGTTTAATAAATGAATGGCTGGCAAGATGCCATGAACTGATTTTATAATGAAATGATTTTAGAATGTTGTATTATTTTACTGTTGGACTGTTTTACTGTGGAGTCCGGCTTCAGCTGGGGGGGGGAATATAAATACAATTTTAATATTATTATTATTATTGTAGGGGGTGGGGGCACACACTGAGCTGGATGGAGATGTATGATGGGATGGGGCAGGGGATTTTTGCCTGCCACAGTCCCAGTCAGAATTCTCTTCCGATCTCTCATTCTCGGCTAGGGCCTTTCGAAGAAGAGGACGACCAAGCCAGTGACTGTGGAGATACCTACTATGACTGGGTAGCGCTGTTCTGCTGGCCCAAGTTTCATGCCTCCGTCATGGCTGCAGCAGAGAGCAGCAGGTGCATCTGGGAAACAACTGGCAGGTATAGATTTCTGAGCTGCAGACCTGGTTCCTGGTACCTCAGGGGGGTTGGTTTCTTGATTTATTTTATATATAGGCCTCCTCCCCATTTATGTGGGGGTTGCAGGGGCCTAGTAGGAATTTTGCCATTTGGCTGATTGGCTGGTGCCATCTGGTTTTTGCCTACTGCATAGCAAATCGTCACAACTTGTAAGGTTGCAGTTAGGCATTGGTTATAAATATTGGTGGAGGAGGGGTCAGGATAGGCTGGGCCTGCCCCTCCAATGGTGGTGGAAGGGAATTCCGTTAAAGGAATCCTGGGGCTTGCCATGATTTCGTCCAATCCCTGAAATGGGACCAGGGCCAGCAAGCCTTGGGGAGCAGATTGGGTGAGCAGTGAGGGACTGACGCTCAGCTCAACTGATCCCCAATACAGTGGTGCCCCGCAAGACGAATGCCTCGCAAGACGAAAAACTCGCTAGACGAAAGGGTTTTCCGTTTTTTGAGTCGTTCCGCAAGATGAATTTCCCTATGGGCTTGCTTCGCAAGACGAAACGTCTTGCGAGTTCTTGCGAGTTTGTTTCCTTTTTCTTAAAGCCGCTAAGCCGTTAATAGCCGCTAAGCCACTAAGCCGCTAATAGCCGTGCTTCGCGAGACGAAGAAACCGCAAGACGAAGAGACTCGTGAAACGGATTAATTTCGTCTTGCGAGGCACCACTGTATTGCTATCCCTTCACTGGCTTCCGAGGGAGTTCGGATAGTCAGTTCTGTCCCAGGTGGGGGGACAGATAGTCATAACCAATGCCTAAGCAACCACTCACAGATTATGTATTTTAATAAAGTTGCAGCCCAAAATTTTATGCCAAAAAGCTTGAACTAAAATTATGTGTGATTTGTGAGGGGTGGCTTGGGGACCTCCACATACAAATAGCCTATAATGTTCCATCCGCCACAACCTTTTCGTTTTGTCCCTCTGCAGCATGTATAGCGAGCTGGTCCTCTGCACTGGGCTGCTGGCTGAAGGGATGGGCTGCCCGGTGGCCAGCCCCACGTTGGACGCCTTCTTCATGAGAATCCACGCGGAGTACTTCGCCAACTGCTCCCTCCCCCGTGACCCCACAGAGCATCAGCCACCCACCGGAGTGGTCATCATCCTGACCTCCCTGCCGGTCTGTTTGGTGCCCCTCTCCATCGCCCTCGTCCTCCGCAAGGCACGGGGTCCCGAAACCGCACTGCAAACTGCCCCACGGTGGGCAAAAGTTCGAAAGGGAGTGGTACTGCTAAATGCCGAGAGGTGCGAGACGTCTAGCCTGGAAGACAACTGAGAACAACTGGGCTGAAGTGTGAAGGAGAGGCGGATTTTATTGTTATTTTATTTTGACATCACATTTTTATTAAATATCTTTAAATTCCGGCTTTCAAGTTTTGCATTTCTCTTTAAACTTCGCTTAAACTTTTAAGTGTCTATACGCTTATCGCGTTTATAAATTTCAAATTTATTGTTGCGCATTGTTTTAAATGTTTGTTTTCCTTCTGGGATTGTACCCCCAAGTGTGTTTTAGAAGCTGGTCTCCGACCGTAATAAATTATCTATCTATCTTTAAACTTTCACTTTCTGTCTTTCTTCCCTGCTGTTCTGAATCCCATCTCATCTACATACTGCCTTCTAATGAACATTCCACCGGAAATATATTCTTTCATTTCAAATATTATCATCTTTCTTCCGCTGCTCATGTTTCAAATCCTGCTTGCGATTTCATCTGATTATGGTGTTTTTCAGAGATTCCAAAAAAAAAGGCTTCTATTCTTCCACAAATAGACCGTCATTCTGGTTTTTTATTTTTGCTGTTTGCTTCGCCAGTTCTGCATAGTGGCTACTCCCCATCCCTTGAATGTTATTTCTGAAATTACATATTCTTAGTGCTTTTTTTCTTTAAGAAAAAATTGCTTAGGGTTACTCTCATTTTCCTGCTCATATTGAAATACTGCCCCTCAATGAGGCCAAACTTAGATTCACAAAATGTTTAGGGGGATGCGTACCCCCAGAAAAAAAGGACTGCATATTCTACTTGTCTGAAATTACACATTAGCCCATACAGAGACTTTTCTGCAATAGCAATGTTAACCCAAAGCCCCAGAAAAACGGAAGCCCTTTTTCGGACTACTTAAGGAAATATTGCAGTTTGATGGCCTCACAAGCAGGATTTGAAATATGAGCAACAGAAGGTATCAGAGAATACAGTATTGATGTTATGGTAAAAGATAGAAGGTACTGCACAGCAGAGGGGGAGAAATGAAAACACCATGAAAAATGAGGTAGGAAGTCAGAAAATGATAAATTAAATTTTTTTTTCCAAAATTTTTTTATTGGTTTTCCACATTTACAACAAACACACAAAAAAGAAAAACGTTGCAATGTTAAAAAGAAAAAACAAACAAACATATACATATTTTTTAATTTTTTTAAAAATAATATTTGATGCTGTATTGTTTTTAACACTTGATTGGAAGCCGCCCAGAGTGGCTGGGGAAACTCAGCCAGATGGGTGGGATATAAATAAATTATTATTATTATTATTATTATTATTATTATTATTATTATTATTATAAACACCTAACTGTTGAAGCCCAATTTGATTTTCATTGTTAAGTGACTTCCTCAAATCCCCCCTGACTGAGTTCCCATAAATCTCATTGTAGCAGTTTTCCGATATCCACTTTCTAATAAAATTAACTTAATCCAATTGCTATCTTTCTTTCTCTTCATGGTAATTTCAATCCATAATGTTATACAATTGAACATATTTTACTCCTAGGCCGATTTGGTACTTACAAATAGTTTTACTTACGTTATATTAGACTATCTAGCTAAATAATCCTTAAATTTCTTCCAAGAAATTGGAAAGAAATGGTAAATTTATTATGTATTGAAGTGTATATGTTAAATCTTTGAAACCTTAATAAAAAAAAAATTATGGGGAAAATAAGCCCCGCACAAACCCCACATTGCAGGGCATAACATCTGGACTTTTTTCTTTTCAAGTTGCCAATCGTGCCTGCCTGTCTTTGTAAAGTGTTTCTCATTGGGCCCAAATGCCAATCTGCATTTCATTAAAAGCTGCAGTTTCTCTGCTGACAAATCTTTGTATTCCTTCTTCGGTTGTTAACCGAAGCGTCTCCCTTCTCCTGCCCATCAGAAGGAAACGCCACTTTATCCAAAAGCACTTACGTCTATGTGTGTGCCTAGACTTGCAGTCTTTTCAGGCAAATCCCCCCCCAAAAAAAAATCAGCCACAACTTTCCGCCGCAAACGACAGTACAAGTGGGCAGACAGACTCCCTTCTTTATTCTCAGAGAGTTCTCGCAATCCATTTCACAATCTTTATTTTGTACCAGTTACCTAATTAGTTTGATCACCACAGCCAGATGATGATTTGCAGATCCTCCCCCCCCCCCCCCGGCTTCTATTGAGGGCTTTGGAAATAATTTCCTTTTTTAAAAAGGCAAAACAAATCCCAGGGCTTGTCTTTCCACATTTTGCTTTTTAAAAAAATTTTAAAATCTCCCACTTCAAAGGAGAAGTGAGTTTTTTAAGCCCTCAAATTCATCTGTCATTGATTAAAATCCAAGCCATGGAAGAACTGCCAGCCCCTTCACTACTCCCACCAGCTTTTGCCCTTAATAAAACACATCCCCCTCTCATATTCCTTGCAGAAGGAGCAGTATTCTTTCCCTATGGTATGTGGAATATCATGCAAGATGTAAGGTGGAATGAACTGTGGGATTCATAGTCTACACAACAGCTCTGTTTTGTTGTGTTGCTTACAATTTTCAGGTTGCACCAAGGGCTATGTTATGTACTGAAGTTCTCACCCTGGGCCAGCAGAGGAATACTGTAGATAGTTTTCACTCAGGTCCACATATGCAAATAAGGAATTGAAAGTGACGTTCAGTGATTGGATAGTTACAGAAAGTTGTTACTGTTGCGTTGTAATGGAGCTCTATATAAGCAGGCTGACTGAGCTCCTCAGTTCTGTTCTGTTCTGGGTCTGTGAACAAACAAAAGCTGTCTGAAGAATCTCTGTGTTGTCTGATATGTTCACCCACAACTTAACAGGCTACTTGGGCCAATCTATTCTGGCCTCCATTGCTCCTTCCACAGTTACTCCATTGTCTTCAAGTGTCCCCTGAAAGTTATATATTTGATTGATAGCATGTAATCTCAAGCATGTAGTATGCTACACAATAACTGCCTGTATTAGCAATCTAGGCTGAGAGTGCCAACCAAAATTGACCACTAAGAAAGAAACGGAAACTATCAGTTTGACTGAGGGAATCCCAAGGATTTCAGTAGAGATATGGATATGGATATGGATATGGATATTGATTACATATACATATACATATACAGGTAAAGGGACCCCTGACCATTTGGTCCAGTCGTGACCGACTCTGGGGTTGCGGCGCTCATCTCGCTTTACTGGCCGAGGGAGCCAGCGTACAGCTTCCGGGTCATGTGGCCAGTATGACTAAGCCGCTTCTGGCGAACCAGAGCAGCGCACGGAAATTCCGTTTACCTTCCCGCCGAAGTGGTACCTATTTATCTACTTGCACTTTGACGTGCTTTCGAACTGCTAGGTTGGCAGGAGCAGGGACCGAGCAACGGGAGCTCACCCCATCGTGGGGATTCAAACCGCCGACCTTCTGATCAGCAAGTCCTAGGCTCTGTGGTTTAACCCACAGCTCCACTCGCGTCCCTTGATGATGGAATAGGACGTTTCTATTTTCATTGGAGAAATGTTGGAGGGTATACACATAACAATTCGTCTTATAATGAAGTTCCACTTATTTTGTTTTGTCAATTAGCGTACCCCCTACAGTGGTACCTTGGGTTAAGTACTTAATTCGTTCCGGAGGTCCGTTCTTAACCTGAAACTGTTCTTAACCTGAAGCACCACTTTAGCTTATGGGGCCTCCTGCTGCTGCTGCGCCGCTGGAGCCCGATTTCTGTTCTTATCCTGAAGCAAAGTTCTTAACCTGAAGCACTATTTCTGGGTTAACGGAGTGTGTAACCTGAAGCGTATGTAACCCGAGGTACCACTGTATTTCCAATCTGCAGCTTACAGTTCCCTGGTCAGAGACGTGATTATGATGATCCCAATCTGAAGGCTGTGTGGACCCCTTGTGAGGTGCTCTCTGGGCTCAGGTTGATCTGCTAAGTTTTATTTTAAGCAAAATATCCTCGGGAAAAGCTCCAGGACATCTGTGCCAAGTCTGTTCGCAATTTATTTCCTCGTATCTCCGAATGGCACATGGCAAGCAGGCAGAGTTATGTCACGGGGAGCTTGGCTTCTGCCTGTTGAGCTGCCAAGGGATGACCAGCTCAGGGTACTAATTGGCCTCCTCAGACTCTAAAGATGTTCTGACTTCAGTGGGTGTGTTTGCGGCAAGTAAGTAATGCGCACAAGCTGTTTTCACCGAGGGCTTGGATCCAGCTGCCATGACCTCAGCAAACAGCATCAAAGGTGCTGACAGGCCTGGACTCCCTCCAGGATACGATCTGTTCCAGATGTGGGGAGGGAGGGAGACTCCTGCTTGCATACGGTCCAAGGAAAATGGGTCTCTTTCTGTGAAAGCGCAGCGCTCTGGGTGAGGAGGGTGGGAGCCATCTTGCTGGGTGGTTTCTGTCTCATAAATCGCACAAGGACGGGAGGGGAGGGAGGGAGAGGGAATTGGCAGCAAAGCTTGGAGGGAGCTGCTGTCTCTGGCCGGGAAGAACTCTGGGCAGAGCTTGGCTCTGCCTGCTTCTCTTCCAGAGTTTATCCAGAAAACCGCTTCATCCTAAACGGCCACATTTGCTTCTAACTCAGAAAGGCTCGAGATGGGCCCAGCTGGGGGCTACAGGCCGAGGGGACGGAGTTGTACCTGGGTCTGTGAAACTGAGGTTCAAGTCTTGCCTCCGCAACAGATTTGCCGCGCCGCACCAGAGCACGTCCTACTATTGGCCTCAGTTCCTCATCTGTGAAATGGGTGTATGTGTGTGGTGGGGGGTGTTGCTCAGAGGTAGAAGGTGGCGCAATGGCTCGGTGCATCTGGCTGTTAACCAGAAGGTTGGCGGTTTGAGCCCACCCAGCGGCACCCTACCTGCCCACAGACTGTCTCGCCAGAGTGGTGCATGCTCTGGTTATCTCCTGCTTGGACTACTGCAATGTGATTTACTTGGGGTTACCTTTGAGCTGGAAACTACAACTAATCCAAAATGTGGCAGCTAGACTGGTGACTGGGAGCGGCCGCCGAGACCATATATCACCGGTCTTGAAAGATCTATACTGGCTCCCAGTATGTTTCTGAGCACAATTCAAAGTGTTGGTGCTGACCTTTAAAGCCCTAAACGGCCTCGGTCCAGTATACCTGAAGGAGCGTCTCCACCCCCATCATTCTGCCTGGACACTGAGGTCCAGTGCCAAGGGCCTTCTGGCGGTTCCCTCATTATGAGAAGCAAAGTTAGAGGGAACCAG